ACCACTACTAGGTCTATATCCTAAAGAGATTGGGGGGGGGGGCACGCACGCACATGGAGGAAAGAACTTATATGTTCAAAAATATTTATAGCAGCTCTTTTTGTGGTGGCAAAAAATTGGAAATTGAGGGGATGCTCATCAATTGGGTATGGTATAAAATTGTGATGCAATACTACTGTGCAGAAAAACCTGGAAAGACTTAAATGAACTGATACAAAGAGCAAAACCAGGAAAACATTGTACACAGTAACAACAATATTACATGATGAACAAATGTGAATGACTTAAGCTATTCTCAGCAATACAATGATCCAAGATAATTCCAAAGGACTTATGGTGAAAAATGCTATCAATTTCCAGAGAAAGAACGGATGGAGTCTGAATACAGATCAAAGCATACTTTTCTAAACTTTCTTTCTTTTGGTCTGTATTTTCCTTCACAACATGACTAATGTGAAAATGTTTTGTGTGACTTCACACGTATGACCTATATCAAATTGTGTGCCACTTTAATGAGTGGGGAGGGTACAGAGAGAATTTGGAAGTTGAATTTTAAAAAACGCTAAAAACTTTTTACATGCAATTGGAAAAAAAATAAGATGTTAAAAAAAAAGAACTCTCCTTCTGGGACAAAATTCTGAAAAGCATCTTCAATTTTTTTAACTCTAACATTTTATTATTTTATTTTTTTCAATTACCAAGCGCTGATTTTTTTCCTCCCTTCCATCTCCCACATCACTGACAGAAAAAAGGAAACATATACATCTCATATCCTACAAGCACAATCAAATAGTCACATCTAAAACTGTATTTCTTATTCTACCTATTAGTCCACTATCTCTCTATCATGAATTGGACAGTGTTTTGTTCTGTTTTTAATTAGTACTCTGGAATCATGGTTGATCATTTCGTTTATGAGAATTCTTAAGTCCTCCCAAAACTGTTTATTTTTATAATGCTGATATAACATAAATTGTTCAATGGGGATCATCAATTTATGGAACTTTCCTTGTCTCTTTGAAACTATCTTTTTGCTCACTTCTTACAGCATTCTATTAATTCATATACCACAATTTTATTCAGCCATTCATCAGTTGGTGGGCATTCCCTTGATTTCTATTTTTTTTTAACCACCAAAAGTAGTTGCTTAAAATATGTTTTTACATATAGGACTTTTTCCTCTTTGGGATTAGGCTGAGCAATGATATAGCTAAGTCAAAAAGCATGAATGCACTGCTTAGTAACTTTCTATGCATAATGCCAAACTGCTTTACAGAATGGTTTGGATCCATTCACAGTTATCTACCAACAATGTATCAATGTGCCTGTTTTCCCACATCTCCACCAACACTTGTCACTTTCTATTTTTGTCATTGCTGCCAATCTAATGTGAGGCAGAACCTGAGAATTACTTTAATTTTGCATTTCTCTATTAGTGATAAGGAACATTTTTTCATATGGCTAAAGACAGTATAGGTTGGGTTTCTTCTTTTGAGAATTGTCTCAAATTCATAGCCTTACACAATTTAGCAACTGAAGTAGGGTTCTTATTCTTCTAAATTTGAAATCAATTTCATACACATCTTAGAAATCAGACCCTATCAGAGAGAAACTTGCTAGAAATATTTTCCCCCAACATAATATTAGTTATGCTGGATTTGTTTGCGCAAAAAATTTAATTTTATGTAATCAAAATGATCAATTTTATCTTCTGTGATTCTATCCTCTCCTCTATCCAAAGATCTAATAAGTTATTTCTTCCTTGTTTCCCTCATTTTTTTTTTAATGACATGACCTTTTGTATCTAGGTCACGTATCCATTTGAAGTTTACTTTATTATGAGGTGTTGGTATAAACCTAATTTGTTACATGCTGGGATCCAAATTTTCCCAGCAGTTTTTTTTATTCAATTTTTAAAAATTACCTGACCTTTTATATTGAGGTTGTATCTCTTATTTGGAACATATTGTAATAAATGTATAAATGGTATAAAACTAATTGTTATGGTAAAACTTATTTCCAGTTTTTAAAAAATAAATTTTATTGATATTTTTTGCTTTTATAAGATTTTCCCTTGTACCTCTTCTCCTCTTAGAAAGCTTTCCCTCATAATATTAATTTTTTAAAAGAGGAAAAGAAAAAAAGATGAACAAAATTAACCAATACATCATAAAAAAATCCTGATGTCATATGCATTGTTCCATACCTGTAAGACTCTCTCTCCTCTTTCTTTCCTCCCTGCAAAGGAGAGGTGTCTTTCCGTATCTCTTCTTAGGGCTAAGTTTGTTCTTTATACTTTCACATCATACAGTTTTGATTGCTTCCTAGTGGTAGTTCCTTTCTACTTAAATTGCTTGGTGCCTGACCCATTACTACTTATTAAATGTTAGCTGGGGGCAGCTAGGTGGCACAGTGGATACAGCACTCAGCTTGGGATACGGAAGACTCATCTTCGTCAAGTTCAAATCTGACCTCAGACATTTAATAGCTATGCGATCCTAGACGAGCCACTTAACCCTGTTTGCCTCAGTTTCCTCATCTGTAAAATGAGCTGGAGAAGAAAACGGCAAACCACTCCAGGATCTTTGCCAAGAAAATGTCAAATGGAGTCATGAAGAGGTGGACATGACTGAAAATGATTGAACAACAAAATGCTACTGGACTTGCTGACAATGTAGTTATTGTATATGCTTTTTTCTGGCTCTTTACTTCACTTTGCATCAGTTCATATACTTCTTTCCATGCTTTTCTGTCTTCATTATGCTGGTTGTTTCTTATGTTATAACATTTAACGTTACATTAAAATCATGTACCTCAATCTGTTTAACCATTCTCCAATCAATGAGCATCTAGAACTTTGTTTCCTATCACAACATGTACTACTTGAAATATTCTGGTGTACATGGAACCTCCTGAGCATTTTTTGTTGAACAGGAAGTATTTTCCTAAATAGTTTATGTTCTTGGGTTTATCATACATTGGACTGAGTCCACGTGTTTCTGATTCATTTTCATTTAGCTCATTTGATGGACCTACCTTTTTTTTTTAAGCCAGTATCAATTAGTTTAAATAATTAGTGACAACAATATCATGTAGTTTGATATCTAGAAGAACCTCTTAATTCCTACTTTTCTCCTTTGAGATTCAAGACCTCATGTTCCTTCAAGGAATTTTATAATTGTTTTGTCTAGCTCTATAAAACTAACTCCTTGCTAGTTTAAGAAGCATAGCACTAAACCTATAAAGTAATTTAGGTAGTATTGTAATTTTCATTATATTGGCAAACAACAACCGTAAGCAATGAATATATACCTCCAACAATGAGTTTTCCTTTATTTCTACAGTGCTTTGAAATTGTATCTTATGATAGATGGACTCCAGGAGGTTTTATGCATCATATATACTGTTTTCCTAGCTTTTTTTATTTTTCAATTAACAAACTTTTTTTTCTTTCTCTCCCAACCCCATCAATTTGAAAGAAAAAATGAAGCCTTTATAACAAATATATAATTAAGCAAAGTAAATTCTCATATTATCCATGTCCAAAAATGTGTATCTCATTCTGTGTCCTGAATCCATTCTCTTTCTCTGAAGTAGCGAGTAACAAAAATCATCATTAGTCCTCTGGAAATGGGGCTGGCCACTACACTGATCAGAGATTTTAGACCCCTGCAAATTATGTTTTTAAAACATTGTTCTTATTGTATCAATTGTTCTGCTTGTTTCACTCTACATCAGTTATGTATATCAGACATGTATTCATATTCCTTTCATTTATGACACCTACACCATAAATTTAGAACCATTCCCCAATTGATAGACAATCCTTTTGTTTTCCATTTCTTTGGCATTCTGTATGTATTTTGAATGAGAATTCTCTTACTGTTATTTCTCCTAGTTTTTGGTATTATTATGTGGAAATGTAGATTTGTTTGCTTTATTTCATATCCTGCCACATTCTAAAATGAACTATTTCAATATCACTGCTGATTCTCTGGAGTTTTATAAGTAAATCATCATGTCTGCAAATCATGACTTTGTCTCCTTTTTGCTGATGTTTATACCTTTGATTGCTCTTTCTTTTCTTACTAGCATCACTAGCATTTCTAAAATTATACCGAATAATACAAGCTGGGACAAGGGACCCTGACCAGGGGATCACATTCACTCCCCTTTTCCTACAGACATACACATGTCTACAAATCAATAATAAGTCATATTTACATAATTCTTTAAATCTTGCAAATTATTTTTTGCAAAACAACCCTGAGAAAATGTATTATTACTATTCATTACTCCATGAATAAGGAGATTGAAGCTCTGAAAGCTGTAACTTGCCTTAACCAGGCATGTGAATTCAAAATCATACTTCTTTGTTGATAATTCAAAATAAATTAATAAAAAATAAATTAAAAAAATAATAAAATAAAAAAATACATTTAATAGGAATGTATATGTATGCCCTATATCAGATTGCACGCCGTCTTGCGAGAGGGAGATGGGGAGGGAGGAGGAGAAAAATTTAAAACTCAAAAGTTTATGGAAGTGATTGTTGATAATTTGAAATAAATTAATAAAAAATAAATAAAATAAAACAAAACAAAATCAGATCTCTTATTCCAAGTCTAGCATTTTTTCTATCATGCCATACTAATTCTCAATATTTCAAAAGATACTTCATTGGTAGGTATGTATCTTTCAATGATCCACATTTCTGGACTTAGTCATGTATTGTCTTCATGAGTCCTTAATTACAATGGCTGAAAAAACTCAGGACCTGGTAACCAACTTTCCTAGGATGAGTTTCTGAACTTAAGTTGTTCACTTATTGGTGTGTATGTATCAATGGCTCAAAGAGATTTAGACTCCCCTGGAAGTTGTACTTCTCTATCTCTTTGTGTCTCACATTACATACCTATAATATTTGGTTAGGGAATTACTTATGTCTAAGTAACTTACGAAAGCTGGGTGAAGTCATAATAATTATACAAGGCACTCACCACACTTGTGTTACTGGAATTCTTCAGGTGGTTGTGTAGGAGTTTGGTGGCACCATCCTGGAATGTTTTTGGCAAGGCACCAAGTAACATTGTAAACTCTGGAGTGTTCAGTTCAAACAGAGAAATCAGAACAATTTGTGCTGCCTAGAAGAAGAAAATTAGACTAGTTATTAATCGGATTATAATAGGGATTTATTTTTAAATATTTTATATTTTAAAATATAAATATTTAAAAAAAAATTTTTTTAAACAATCTGACCAAGTCTTTAAAAAGAGAAAACATTTTTATCAGTAAGATATAATTACCCATAATGGGAATCCTTTGGCTTGAAAGAGGAGAAAAAACAAAAGACAAAAAGTACCTATAGAAAATATCATCAACCATTCAAGAATCTGCCTTCAGTCTAGACTACAATAAAATACAATGATCATTTTAGCATCCTGAATTTCTTCTTCTTTCAACATCATGAAAGAGAACTGGTAAATACAGAAAGCAAACCAAACAAACCTCAAGGACCCTTTCTCTTTTTTAAGTCTGGTTCAGAATTACAACCAGCCTTTCAGCAAGAAAATGTGAGAAAGAGACTGGATGCAGGCTGGAAAAATGAATTCTTATTAACATGTTCCTGCTTGGCTGTAGTACAGGTACCATCCTTTTTAACTTCTCAGGATGCCCCAAGAACAACTCTAGAGAATCATCCTTAAATACTGGGCAACAATGAAAAAATAAGAATGTCATTAAAAACATTCAGAGTATACACAGTATAATCTCTGCTTATGTTAGAGAAATTGGCTGTTCTGAAAATGTTCTATTTTTCTTCATTAATTTGGGGGGGGGGAATTGCAGGCTTCCTTGGAAAGACAGCAAAGTAGTAGCAAAAGTAGATTGCAAAAACAATGGCAGTAGCTCCAGAATTCAAGCTTCATCTAAACAGCAAAGATTTATTGCAGCAAGGCATTGTAATGCAGCTTTACTAAAGATAATTTGGAAGTACGTAATTTGGAACCTTAAAAGAGTGCACCTCAAAGAACAGCTGTGATTACAGGAACTTGGAAAATCATACCAAAATAAATTTGTAACAAATACTTGGGGTTTCTTAGAAATGTTTAAAATTTTCCAGATAAATAAAAAAGTTGGGAGGAGGAAAGCCATGATTCAGAACAAAAACTGTGGCTTCCTGATGTGTAAACTGTTTTTTCCATGTGGCATAAAATACATCACACAGAAGGAGTTTCCACAGAATCAGACCAGACAAAACACTGCTCATTTGAATACTAAAGTAAGTGTTCTGGAAAACAATTTCACATATGGCACTGAATTTTTAGAGAAACTACCACATAGGGAGATGTTCTATCAAATCAAAGGCATAAAATACTGCAAAGCCATTATAATTCTAAAATCCTAGGTCCAAGACAAAATATTTATTTTGTTTCAGAGGAGAACAAAGTCAGGGCACCATGCAGTCAGTTCCTACTATAAATAAAACAACACAACAAAAGCACAATGCTTCCTTTCTTGACAATCCAAACACACTAAAGAAGCAGTTTTTCCACACAAACACCAGAGGGAGGCCTGTTTTTGTGACAAAGAACAAAAGCAATTTTTCTGATTACAGTGAAATATGAATCTTGACATCACATTAACATATTTTAATTTAGTCATAATTACAAAGGAAAGCTTCCCTAACATGCTATTTTTTTAGAAATTCTCATAGCATAATGCTGTGTTAGTACAACAAACAGTCCAAAGAAAACTCGTGCAAGCCCTAGTTGGGATACGCAGGGCATTTTGTTAGAAAGAATTTCACGCAGAAAAACTGCACACTTCAAGGAGGATAAGGGAAGAAGCAGGCTTTAGCATTAGCACTGAAAACATATCAACGTGGCTAATCTAATGATATTTTTAAAAGCTAAATTTATAGTTTCACTTTGATTTAAAGTAACATTTAGAAGCAGAGATGTTAGTTTGAATTCTTTAAATGTTACATTTTCAATTACATGTGTGACTGCATTAACTTAAAAGACCATAAGTTCTTCCTGGGAGAAGACCCAAACGCTACAAATGGGCTTCAGTTCTTCATGTACTAACCTAGGAAATCAATGACATCATTCAGGAAATTAAGGGCAGCAAAACTGGCCCCAAATCTAGAAGCTGGTCAGGAAAGTTTGCTGATGATTGATCCTATAATTGTTTTACTAATGTGAAAAAAGCGGAAAATCCTATACACTTTAACATACCCCTACAAAGAATCCTTTCTTGATAATTCTAAACTTGAATCTTAATGTAAAAACATCCAACTAAGGAAAAAAAGTGACATGGGAGATAAAACTAAATGGAAAGACAAAAAAATTGCCATGATTCAAGAACTATATTGCAAATATTTATTAGCTTTCTCATATGCTTCACATAGCAGGCCATTTAGAGGCTACAAGGGCTACTGCTGATAGATAATAGAACTGGCACCAAGAAATCAATCTATCAAATGAACCTCTCTTAGTCATCTGCCTGTTTGTAAGATTTTTTTTGTCCTATGACCAAGGTCATATGCAACAAGAACAACAAATCATAATTATAGTAAGATTTTTGTATAGTTGTAGGCTTTTGTTTTTGTTTAGTAGGGAGAGGAATTAAATCTCTTTTCCCTCTTAAAAGCTTATTTTTGCCATGATAAAATTTAGGACTGTATTATTTCAAGTGCCAATCACAATATAAAAAAACATTTTGGATCTTCTGGTCCTAAGGAAGAACCAAATTTGGGGAAGGCTGAGGGGACACAGAATATAACAGTAAACCTGGTTGATGAAGTTTTCCCAAGGCACAGTTCAATTGAAAGCTCTTTCAAAAATCATCACAATATTCTTTTTTCTAATCCCTTGAAAGAAGTGGAAACTAGGGACACTGATTCAGTTTCAAACTGACAATCTCTGAACAGGTTAATTTGTATAAAGATCTTACTTACCAAATACAGAATTTCAAGAGGAAAGCTAATGCTTTAAATATAATGTATTTTCACTTAGAGTCCAATTAGATATATTTGGGGGGGGGGCAGAGGAGACAGTGGAGAAGTGGCATAAAAGACAATGGAATTCAAGGAAGGAGAATAATTGGGTGAGACTATTTATTTCCAAAGAGATAAACACATGTATTTTTAAAAGACTAATGTGACATTCTCATCCAATTACGCTGCCACTCACTCTTCTACATGTAGTCTGATCTTTATAAATTATTAACTTCTAAAAGGGATACCACCCAACAATATAAGCAGCAAGAGAATCCCAATTTGGTGCTGAATTTTCCTAATGGTGATATTTTGGGTGATTTCTTCTGTAGATGATGAGATGGTAAAGTTAAGCAAAGTTCCTACAGTCTTTGTCTACACAAGTTTTATATATTGGGAGCTTTTCCGATGTACCACCCAACAGTACTACTTCATTCACTGTCTAAAAACCACTCAATCATCTTAACTGCTGTTTAAACTTTGTAGTGGAATGGATTTCTTTATAAAGGATGTGGAAGGCTGCTATGAAGTGATACACAAAACTATTCTGGTGATGGTACTAGTTTGAGAAAACAGAGGGAAGAGAGAATTTTAAAATTTAATAACCTTTGTGCTTTCACTTCTGAATACCTGGAGAGCTGCAGTCCATTAAAGGCCTGTCACTGGCAATCATTTCTTAAAGAGATTATTTAAGAAATTCTCTCATACTTGAAGCAGAAAGAATATGTCTTTTTATCAATGTTTTAAGGACCATATTCAGACCCATTATTGGTAAGTTTCTTACTAAAGCTGATCTTTTATTAATAAGATGAATTTTCTGATGGGGTAGTAATGAATTTCTTTTATCTCGTGAGGTATCCCTTGGGATCTGCTTTTACCAATAATTATTTCACTGTGACAAGTTAATCATAAAACAATATACTGAGAGATGCAAACTCATATACACACACAGACACACAAAGTATTTATATTAACATTTTAGGTTTCTTCATAATCTTTCCAGTCTTTTCACAAGCCTGATCTGTATTAGGAGTCTAAAACGCAAACATAAAAGTATGTTTTTAAAAATTAGTGTACACAGCTTTTAGTCTACCTGTTTACATTTTTCTTCCAAGTTTCCTTCTCCAGGCCCAGAGGTTGAAGCTGACCTAGCTGGGAAATCCTCACCTACCCGACTATGCTGTAGCTGAGGCTGACAAACAGGAAAGGTAATATTGTTTAATCAAAGAGAAAAGGCAAGTTTTTAAACTATGGTTATTGGTTAAACATAATTTTTAAAAATTTTTATATGAAAACATTGCCTAAACATACTATATTTTCTAATTAGACATAACAAAAGTGCATCAAATATTTAATGACTGTCCTTCAATAAAAATGTTCTACCCTAAACTATTAACTGTCTTGAAAGTCCTAAAGTTTCTCCATTATTCCCACTGCTGTGTTATCAGCACTTCATAGACTTCTTTACTTTACCTACATATTCTTAGATTTATAGTCTTTCAAGATTTGCGGGCTAAATCTATTATTTCATCTATTCAATTCAAGGTTATATTTCATAAACACTCTGAATCCACTTGCCATTGATTTTTTAGTTGGAAGAATTCAACATTCAACAAAAACTTCCATTACCTTTTCTCTCCATTTCATTGCATTTTATAATTGTCTAAAATGATCAAAGGCCTTATTTTCCTGACTTTAAAGAAAAATCTAAAAATTTACCCATGTCCTTACTGTATTTTCTTGGAAACCTCTATCTTAAATAGCTCCCATTTAAAAAAATTCATTACTTATATTGTTGAGTTTGTTTGTTTTTTTTTAATGGGACCTGAGATTTGATCAGGGCAATCAAGTTCCTGGATCAGGAACCCTCTCTACCAATGTAGGTCAGATCTGGCACCTGCAAGAGGCTGCCTGGAATAGAGAAGAGAGAGCTGGTCTCGGAACCAGGAGAACCTTGGTTCAAGTCCTGACTCTGACACTGAATTACTGTGTGACCTTGAATAAGTTACTTAACCAACCTCTCAGTGCCCAGAGTAATTCTCTAAGACCAAAAGCTGCGGAAAAGGTACTGATAGGGGCAGCTAGGTGGCACAGTGGATAGAGCATTGGCCCTGGATTCAGGAGGATTTGAGTTCAAATCCAGCCTCACACACATAACACTCACTAGTTGTGTGACTCTGGGCAAGTCACTCAACCCCGACTGCCTCACAAAAAAAAGTAAAAAAGATAAAAAAACCACAAGAAAAGGTGCTGACCCGCACTGGAAAAGGGAGTTTCCTACAGAACATGAAATCCCGGGTCTAGTCCTTATTTTTTTATCTAATGGGGAAAAAAACCAACAACACTGAGATGCAAAAAGGGAAGCAAACTATTTCAATGCTGCATCTCAATAAGTTCTAATTCTAGCCAGAGAAACTTTGATCATCTGTGATCCACCTGGATGAAGCCCAGCATTAAAAGTCTTTTTTCATATCCTATCCTGTCATACCAGTGAGGGTGAGAGGAGGCAGCCAAGATGTTAACTGGGCAGAGACAGACCTGTCTGACACGTTCAAGTGCAAATCAATAAAGAGAAATAAAAACCCCCAACCAAAAAATGAAACCATGTAAGACTCACTGGGGCTTTCACAGCACAGAAAAAGAAATGAGATTTCAATATTTATCATCATTATAGCACACAGTGTCCCGCATAATGCAAAAATTGAGTTTGTATGAGAATCTAATATAAAAGGAACATTTTTCTACTAATAGTAATTCTTTGTACAGATAAAATATTTTACACTTGTCAGTGTTTTTTTTTCCCCCAAAACATCTTAGCGCACAGATACATAGTACAAACTGTTATGCTTCCTCCAGAATCCAAGTACCATTACCATTAAATAAATGGAAAATAACCATGAGTCTGATCAACATTTTAACTTTTTCTATGCAGAAAGCTCCCATAGGATTCACCAGGAACTGGGCATTCCAAAAAAAAAAAGGGGGGGGAAGACCATCAGTAACATTTAATCCTTTTAGCACGACAAAATTGTGATTCCCCACATTAGTTAGTGGAAATGCTATACATATCTTATCCAAAATTGTTTTTATTCAGGAAATTAAAGATGAGAGGAAAATATTTAATTTCTGTAGTTAAGTGAGTTTCGCTCTGAAACCCCAAATTATCTGAGTAAATCTACTTTTCACATTTCCTGAGTGTGAAATTTATAGTAATAATTTTATAACTGAAGAATGGATGATATGGACAATGTCATATTTGTCAATATTCAAATTTTGTAAGTCCACACTCTTTCAGAGACTATTCCAAACATAATTCAGGAATGAGGCAGTTTGCATCGAGTCATTTAAAACAAACAACAATTGTGGTTATGTTTTCTGCCCTGAGTCTTCCATTAATATACTACTGTGAAGCCTCATGAAGGTAATCCTAGATTGCTGAGGATAGTTCAAGCACAGGAAAAGTTCTAATATGCTTAACCTAAACTGGAATGATTTTGAGTGATGGCTGGGTAAGGAAGTGAATACTTACCTAGCTGAGCTTAGAAAAAGATGCATAACCAAAAAGCTGGCAGCAACCAAGGGATGATATTTTTTTTGGGGGGGTAGGAGGGTGAGGGGTGGGAGGTCATAGCAACTCATGAAACCAATCTTCCAAGGCACAGTGGGACTGTGATATGAATAAGTGGATTACAAGGAGCTCAAGAAAAGGCTGAGAATAGAGAGAAAGACTTGGAAGCCAATAACAAAAAGGAGATAATAAATCAGTTAGACATTCTTTTTCTGAGGATGTTACTTTCCCTGGACTACTGTTTTGTTTTGTCTTAAAAAAAATAACTTCTATTTATTTGTTGAAAGGCTACAAAAGCCAACAAATATGATGAAATGGACCTTTGAAAATGATGTCTAGTAAATAACTTCTGCTGCAGAAAGTGCTGATACTAGAAAATATTTAGAATAAGTTTACGCCATTCACTGTGGTCTCAGAAATATCTCATTATACAATAAAGTACTACTAATTCACCTTAACTGGGGAGAATTCAGATTCCTTTGGAAAAGAGAATCAAAACCTTTAAGATGTACATTTTTATTACATGAAGTTACAAATAACAACACTTCCAATATATAAAGAAGGAATACAGAATCTTTTAAGTTTTAATAAACTCGATAACATATAATTAGCCCATTTGATATTTGAATCATTTATTTACAAAGTAGTTATACAAGTATCTAATCTGCTAACCTTTCCTTCTCTCTCCTGAAACTCTTGCTTGATTTTTTAAAATACTATTTTTGTTTTTTAAAGTACTACTTTTGTTTGTCTAGCAAGTCATTTACTGATATGCACCCTCCACCTGAACCCTCTCTTATAACAAAGAAAAAATTAAAACCAAATGATAAAAAGATTACATCTGATAGCTTTATGAAATATTCTGTTTCCTTTGTCTCCCACTTTTGTAAATGAAGTGTTTCATCACCTGTTCTCAGGGCTAAGACTTAGCTTTTAATTCTAAGTAAACTAATTCTCTGGCTCATAAAAGAAATTTGTTTACTAAATCAGTTTTCCCTCATATATAGTAAACAAAGGTACAAAAGGACAGAGTGATTAAATGATCTATGTTATGGCTTTCTGTAGCTACCCATATCCATTAGCAGTAATTACTATTTTTAAAGGACCTTTTTCAGCCCATAAAGAATTCAGAGATTCAGGATTCTGGAATCTAAATATTATTTAAAGCCTTTAGTCTCATTAATTAACTGAGCAGGTCAATCAGAAATTACCAGTGATTTTAAGAGCTGAGTCAGAAGAGCTAGAAGAGAGAATAGTGAGGAGGAAGATTCCAGGGCAGAAAAAAAATCAATTATCTACCCATCAAAGACAGAGACTTATTATGCCAATGCTCTCTGGAGAGAATCAAATCTACACATTTTATGTTTCACTGGTACCAAGGGAAAAAGGTTTCATATCAACTCTGCAAAGAGCCAATTCCTAAAGCAAGGAGCAGTTTATACTGAGTGAATGGTATAAAAATGTTAATTTGGTTATTTTATTTTTATATATGATTTTAAAAAGCTGGCTGGAAAAAAAAGCATCAAATCACTGTAGATTGAAATTTGTTGTCACATTTTTAATTTCTTTCCCAATATGTTCCCCAAACCTAGCAACTTAAGTAAAATCCTTTACCTCCCCAAAAAGCTTGGTTGGAAGCAATGATTCAGACTGGCTAAAGGATGAACTTTTTTTTTTGTAAGCAGCCTCACAAAATATTCATAATTAAGAAAAGTATTCTATAAGTTAGCTTCATTTTCAATAGGTCTACAAAACCTATGGTTTTGGATACATGTTTAGTTTCTTTTAGGTAACACAGGGTATGTAAACAAAATGTGGAAATGGCTGGGGTTGGGTGTGCATGGAGGAGCCTGAATTTAAGAGGTGGGCTGTCTCTTCTAAGACATTAGAAGATTTTGTCTACGGCTACAGAGATTTTAAAGAAGAAAAAGTAATTATGAAAGAAAAGGATAGGGACTTCATTAAATTTACTATCATTCAGTTTTCTTTCCTCATAAAAACCTGCAGGTTAAATCCCTTAAAGGTAGGTTCTGTAGTTGATAGACGTGGAATAAGAGCTGGGAGGGACCTTAGAGGTCATCTAGGTCAACCTCCTCATCTTATACTTAGGGAAACTGAAGCAAAGGGGCTCTGTAACTTTATCTAGGTAACACATGTAAGAAGCCAGAATTTAAACTCAGGTTCTCTGCTCTTTCCAGTGTCGCCAAAAAAAGAGAGAGCAAAGTGCCTTTAGATATCAAAGTCACACAAATGGGATACCAGGAAGGCTATTACGCAACAAAATATGTCACAATATGTACCAAAAATGAATCAGTTAATCTTTTCAGACTTGATTTAAAACATTTGACTATTTTTGTTTTATCAATGTAAATGTCCTTGAGACATCTAATATTTTGCTGGCCCAAATCCATGTGTTATATACACCCTACTGGTGGGTCAGTATTCCTTAGTAAGGTCACCCTCCCTAGGAAGTATAGCAATGATAGACAAGTACAAGATGTTCCTTTCTATGATTTAGCTAATTCTTGATCACCCACATGGCAATTAATCAGTGATTCTTAAATTTCAGAATACCATCCTCACCTAGCCATTTCCTCCTACCACTGCATAAGCATATGCCCAAG